TGGCTGCAACGATGGGCTCACATATAGTAGGGATTGTGAGGCTGGCACAGGACCGGGCAGTGTTTCATTCTGTTTAACATAGGATTGCTATGTATCAAAGCCAACTCAATGGCACCTAACAACACCAACAACAGTGTATTCTAATATTATATTAATTGTATATTAATATCCGATACTTAAATTATATTGTAAAGATATGTAACAAAGTTTGCCATTTTTACTATTTTAAGTGCATGATTGAGTGACACTAGTTACATTCACCATATTTTGCTACCATCACTAGCAACCATTTCCAAAAGTTTTATATCACCCCAAACAGAAAGTCAGTACACTTTAAGCAATGACTTTCATTCCCTCCTCTACCCCAGCCTCTATTTTTGTTGTTATTAGTTGTTATCCAGTCAGTTCCATGTTATAACCTCTAATAAACATTTGTCAATTCTAGATATTTCCTATAAGTCACACCATAGGATATTTGCCCTTGTGGGTGTGACTTATGTCATTCACCATAATGTTTTTAAAGTTTATCCATGTCGTAGCATGTATCAGAACTTCCTTAACATTTATGGCTGAATAATATTGCATTGTATGATTATACACACATTTTGTTTATCCAATCATCTGTTTATGGACACTTGGGTTGTTTCTACTTTTTGACTGTTGTGAATAATGCTACAGTGAACACTGGTGTATGAGTAACAATTTAAATCCCTGCTTTAAGGTCTCTTCAGTCGAATTGCTGGGTCATATTTTATGTTTAATTTTTTTGAGAAACCATCAAACTTTTCCATAGTAGCTGCGCCATTTTACATCCCCACCAGCACTAACTCCACATTCAGACTAACACTTGCTAGTTTCTGTTTTTTTCTGATAATAGCCATCTTAGTGGGTGTGAGGTAGTATCTCATTATGGTTTTGATATACATTTCCCTAGTGACTAATGAAGGAGTCCTCATGGGGCTGTGGTTAAAGCATTGGGCTGGTAACCAAAAGGTCAGTGGTTCGAACCCATCAACCACTCTGTGGGAGAGAAAATGAGGCAATCTGCTTTGTAAAGATTTACAGGCTTGTAAACCCTATGTGGCAATTCTACTTTGCCCTATGGGCCACTGTGAGTCAGAATCGACTCAATGGCAATAGGTCTAATGACATTGATCTTTTTTTTTTTTTTTTTTTTTTACATTGATCATATATTCTTGTGCTTATTGGCCATTTCTATACTTTGGAGAAATGTCTATTTAAGTCCTTTGCTCATTTTTTAATTGGGTTGTTTGTCTTTTTGGCGTTGAGTTGTTCTGTATATAGTCTGCATATTAAACCTTTTTCAGATACGTGGTTCCCAAATATTTTCTCCCATTCTGTAGGCTGTCTCTTCAACATTTTATTTTAAAATTATTCATTGACCTTTTGGCTCTGAGGAAATGTAACAAAACTTTAATTAATTTAAGTTACCTTTCCAAGTTTTCTAGATAAATTTCAGAGTATTCTCTTTTGTACTTGTTTCAAAATATTCTTCTCCTTCATCTAAACAACAACAACAAAAAAAAAAACCTCACTGCCATCGAGTCAATTCTGACTCATAGCGACTCCTCCTTGGGTTTCCAAGGCAGTATCTCTATGAGAGTAGAGTGCCCAGTCTTCCTTCCAAGGAGTGGCTGGTGGCTTTGAACTAACAGCCTTTTGGTTAGCAGTCAAATGCCTTAGCCACTTTGCCACCAGAGGGAACTATGTTCTACCACTACTTGGATTTTTTATTATTTTAATATAGTTAGTACTTTTATTTAAAAATCAGAATATTTGAAAATTTAAAAATTTGTATTTTGAACTTTATAACAGCATTTAAAAATATTCTCAAACTTATACAAATTGGTCACTTACTTGATCTTATAATTTTCTTCTTCTCCTCCTCCTCCTGTTTTTTTTTTTTTTTTTCCCCACTAGATGTCTAGATCTTTTAGGATAGATGAAGTTGAAGTAGTTTTTTTTTTTGTTTTTTTTTTGAAGGGGGTAGGGAAAAGGAATCTATTCTCATTTGTCCTGTAAAATAAGTCAAACAAAGTTAAATTATAATTCAGAGATTGATAATACACTACTAGGCAAACAATGTGATGGGACTAATGGTCCCTGTCATGGAGACCTTTATTTACTCTTAACATTTTGATGCAAGATTAATAACTTTCTTATTTGTACTTTATAGCTTGCCAACTATGAAACACAGTGGGGTCCCAACCACCAAGAGGAGGATGCAGTGGCGTCTTTTGCTGACATTGGATGGGTAGCCAAAGACAAAGAAGAGTATTCCACAAGGCTAAGGTTAGTTTAAAAGGCTGTCAGAACTAAGATGCAATCTTTATTATTGTAAAGGAAGATATACTTGCAGTATTTCCTTGAAATATCTATTTTGATCTCTAGTAACTAAGTTATTTTTCTTGAGCAGAAGACAGAACTCTTTCTGAGAACATTTTTAAGATTCAGCTAATATTTATAAAGTTTTTACAGAATTGTGTCCTAAGTCATTATGAATATACAGAATTCCTTGTCCTTCAAAGTTTGCATTGTAACAGGAGAGATCAAAAAGAATTACCATAAATATGTTTAGATAAGTACAGTAATTATAATGGCCTTATTGGGGAAGAGGACTCAGTCTAAATCAGATACCAAATTTGTGCAGTCGTTGGACAATGGTTCTTAAAAACTGTGAATCAAGATTTATTGTGATTCAAAGGAAACAATGTTTAAGAATTAAGGATGTGTTTCTTTTTATTTGAAAGAGCCTGAATAAAGTATTGACTACATTAAATCTAATAAGCATTCAACATATATTTTTCTTTCTTATTAGGTATCAAAGGTACAGAGATCCCTGTTTTTCAAGGATATTTGGTTATGCTAGAGAACCTTAAAAAGGAAATCAATAATACTGATACTTGTTTTGGTTACCTAGTGCTGCTCTAATAGGAATATACCACAAATGGGATGGGTTTAACAAACAGGAGTTTATTCTTTTACAATTTTGGAGGCTTTAAGTCTGAGTTCAAAGTGCCAGGTACTAGGGGCTGGGTGAAAGCCCCTCAACCTTAGTCTTCAGCTCTGCTTCCTGCTTCTGCCCCACTGAAGCTAAAGGCTTTTCCTCACTCAGACAGCTGCTGGCTGCTGAGACTGACAAGCCCAAGGTTGACAAGTAAAAAGGCACAGTTCTGGTGTTTCCAAACTACACAGCAGGCCATCAATTCAACACCATTGAAAGTCCCAAGGTCGGCAGAGCATGGGCTGGCTGCTGAACAACAACATGGCTACATGAAAGGTTCAAGCATGCCATAAGGCTTCTCCTTATATACAGGAAGCAGACTATAGCCCTAAAGCAGCTACTCAGCTGCCCACAGTAGATTCTACCATGGAGTTGATTGCCAGTCTCGTCTTGGGGAATACTATATCCAGCTGCCTAGCCACTCAACCAGGCCCAGCCAAGTTGACACACAAACTTAACTACCAGAGTACTGTACAAGTCTAACAATAACTCTGAATACAGAAGGCCACCATTGTGGACTTCAGAGGTTTGGCAGCATTTCTTAGAGAAGGGGGTGCTAGAGCTACCTGATAAGGGAATAATAAGAGCAAAGCAAATGGGAAGGTTGTATTCCCGGAAAACTGAACTTAGTTAAAGGTACCAGTTATGGGACAATATGGCATGTTTAGGAAACCCTAAATGTCTCGTTGAGGCTAGACAGTATCAGAAGAAGGGAGAGTTGTGGGAGATGAAGATGGAATAGATAGAGATTTAAAAGTCATGCATGTTATACTAGGAAATTTAGACTTTTTCTGAAAGCAATGTGGAGTCATTTAAGTAATAGGATCAGATTTGTGTTTTAGTAAGATTTCCCTGTAAACATGAAGAACACTAGGGAGGAAAACTTGGAGGAGAAAAGGGAAATCAGAAGATGGCTATTGACGTAGACCAGATAATAGATGACCAAGTTTAATTAAATAAAGCAGTTGGCAGAAGAGCTGGAGAAAAAGAGGGGCAAAGTGAGGCGGTACTCAGAAGAATTAAAAGCACTTAGAAATTTGTTAGATATGGGGGATAAGATGAAGGAAACAGCAAGAATAACTCCCAGGTTTCAGTCTAGGATAATTATGAAGATGGTGGAACAATTCATAGGAATTTAGGAAAATAGATTTTTTAGTAGGGCGTAGTCCAGATTGGAGCATACTCTATTTGAGTTTCCTGTGGGACATTCATGGAGCCCTTGTGGCACAGTGGTTCAGCATCTGGCTACTAACTAGTAGGTCAGTGGTTTGAACCCACCAATTGCTCCATGAGAGAAAGATGTGGCAATCTGCTTCCATAAAGATCACAGCCTTAGAAACCCTATTGAATGGTTCTACTGTGTCACTGTGAGTCAAAATCAGCTTGATGCGAAGTTTATAGGACACTCACTTTTTAAATTTTTATTGTGATTTGGGTAAAAGTTTACAGAGCAAATTCCTTTTCCATATAGCAGGATATTCACATCGATCTAGACTAGAAACAGTTTATGTAGATAGATAATTGAAACATGTAGCTAGAATGGCTGATAATGAGGGTACCCAAGGAGCATATGGGAGCTCTGGTAGCATAGTGGCTAAGACACTTGCCTGCTAACCAGACGGCTGGTGGTTCAAACCCACCAGCCAGTCCTCGGAAGAAAGGTTGGGCAATCTACTTCTGTAGCGATACCACCTTGGAAACCCAAGGAGGGGTCGCTATGAGTTGGGTCCGACTCAATGGCACGTAACAACAACAACGTATATAGAGAGAGAGAGAGAGACACACACACACACACCTGTATATAATTATGTCAATATATACAAAAAAATATTTCTAGGATTTTGTTAAGAATTGTGTTAAACTAATATATATCACTTCAGGGAAAATTTAAATCCTTACTGTGTTGAGTCTTCCAATCCATGAATGTGGTATATCTCTCAATTTATTTAGATATATCTTCTTTAATTTCTTCCATTGAAGTTTTATATAAGTCCTGTACATGTTTTATTAGATTTATATCTAAGAACCTGTTTTCTTTTACACAATTATAAGTGTTTTTTTTTTAAATTTTGATATCCATATGTTCATTGCTTGTATATAGAAATAGAATTGATATCTGTATTTTAATCCTATATCCCATGACCTTGTCAAATTCACTTATTACTTCTAGGAGGTTTTCGTGTATTCCTTAGAATTTAATCATGTCACCTGGAAAATAGGGATAGTTTTATTTCTTCCTTTTATTTCCTTTTTTTGCTTTATTGCTCTGGCTAGATAGTCTCAGGGGGTCTTCTGTTCTTTGCTGTTCTAGTATGTCTGTTATTTTGTTTTGTTTTTAGTAAGAATTTGAATTCTGCTCCATAGTTTTCTCCCATTCTATCTGGGACTAACTATGGTAGCCCTGAGGAGCTCTGGTGGCATAGTGCCTAAGGCATTCGACTGCTAACAGAGGGCTGGTGGTTCAAACCTACCAGCCACTCCTCAAAAGGAAGATTGGGCAATCTACTCTTGTAGTGATACTGCCTCAGAAACCGAAGGAAGGGTCTGTGAGTTGGATCAGACTCGACGACAGTGAGTTCGGGTTCTTTTTTTTTTAAATGGTAGCCCTGGTCAAAACAATCAGTACCTGGTGATAGTGAGGTACCATCTAGTTCTTCTGGTCTCAGGGTAGTTGAGTTTGTGGCTCTTGTGACTTGCACTTTTGGTTTCCTTCTTACTGCTTTGCTCCTTAAGTCAAGACCCATAGTTGTAGCTTAGATGAGTGTTCACAGGCTTTTAAGAACCCAGACACTATTGAATTCACTAGGATATAGATCGTGATTTTTGGCCATTTATAGCCAATTTATGCCAATTGACTGAGTTGTCCCATGAGACTGTAGTCCTAAGCCTTCAAATCCAGAAAACCAGTGTTGGAAGTTGTTTGCTTGTCTGAGAAGGATCTATATTTGTGTCTTCAGTAAATAATATATGCCTATATTCACATATTTGTACCTGTAGATACTTCTATCTGTTCTCGCCTGCCTGTATTCTAGTTGCCTATACCCATCCTTATGTGCTGAAACACTTGTTACTACTTTGGTTGTGCTGTACTCACTATATCCACATTCAGTGCTACTTTTCCCATCACCAAAAATAACTTATCTCTGCTGTATAAAGCATACTTTCCCCACACCCCCTCTTTCTGAACCATCAATAAACTTTAGTCTCTCTATATTTATCTATTCTTGACTTTTTATAAAAGATCATAAAATATTTGTCCTTATATGCCTGACTTATTTCACTTAGCCTTATGCCCTCTCTGTTCTATGTTCTGTGGACTGATCATTGTTCTTCATGGCTGTGTAGTATTCCAGTGTTATCTGTGTACCACAGTTTGCCTCTCCATTCCATTCATGGACACTTCAATAGTTTCCATTTATTTGCTATTGTGAATAAAGCAGCATTGAACATAGGTGTGCATATGTCTGTTGATATTATTTTTAGGTCTGTAAGGTATATACCTGGCAGTGAGATTACTGGATTGTGGAGTAGTTCTATTTCTGGTTTTTTGAGAAAGCACCATACCATTTTCAATAGTGGTTGTACCATTTTACAGTCCCACCAGCAATGCATAAGGGTTCCAGCCTCCCCATATCCTTTCAACATTTGTTGTTACCTGGGTTTTCTTGTTTGTTTGTTTTTCTGTTAATCGGTGCCATTTTAGCTGGGATAAGTTGGTATCTCATTGTAGTCTTGATTTGCATCTCTCTAATGGCTATGGTCATGATCATTTTTTCATATATTTGTTGGCTGCCTGGATGTCCTCTTTGGTGAGGGTTCTGTTCATGTCCTTTGCCCATTTTGTGATTGGGTCGTTTGTCTTTTTGTTGTTGAGTCACTGCAATTTTCTGTGGATTTTAGAGATTAGACCCTTGTCAGATAAATCATTTCTGAAGATTTTTTTTCAGTCTGTAGGTTGTTTATGGTAGTTTTCCTTTTAACATGATGCTTTAAACATGGCTAACCACAGAGATTCTTTACATGGGGTCCATGAATCCTCTGGTATTATTTGCAGAATTTTATATGTGGGTGCATATCACCATTTTCCTGGGAAAATCATCAGATTTTCAAGGGGATCTGTGATCACAAAAACAGTTTGGCACAGCTGGTCAGTATGGATTGAGAGCAAGGAGAAAAACATCAGAGGTGGGCTCCTTTCTCATCTTTAAATGATGAGAGATGCGTTCAGGGGCACATCTTCATTCTTTTCCTGTGCAGTCTTGAGTATGCCAAAGAGGTGATCCTGGTTAAGTAAAGTAAAACTGTGAAAGCCAGAACCTGTGTAAGGCAGAAACCTGTCAGAGAAGGAAAAATCAAATATTGTCCACTAACATAAATTATAGGAGAGTGGTAAGACTGTACTCTATCTAAGGTGGAAAACTTGTGAAACCAGAAAAACAAGACAATCCCATCAAGTTACAGCTCTCACAAGTTTTACTGTATTTTACTTTCACCAATTTAAAGTAAAGTAATGAGAAGATAATATGGTTACTTTGAAGGTTTTGGCCAGAAATGCTCAGATCTTCCCTGTAATGTTATTCTTGTCTCAAAAAGCTATATATTTTTGAGTACAGGTTAAATAGCACTTCAGTATCTTTCCTACCAGTTTACCAACATTGATAGCAGGAAAAATTTTCATAAATCTCATTTCAACTATTGGCTCTTCCACATACGAGCTACGTGATATTGAGACTGTTTCCTCAGATGTCCAATAAAAATATCTGCCTCATGGGGTTTGAATTAAATGTGATAACATGTGAAAGCACCAGCCCCATGTCTGCACAGAAGTTTATATTCAGTGCTAATTCCCTTTCTTTTTATTTTTTAAACTCAGGATATTTTTTTTCCGCAAAAAAATGATACAATACTAAGTAAGGCCTTAGGTTTACCACTCTTAAGATAGTATTGTCTACAGCTGGAAGCCAGATTAAAATCACTTCTACCTATATTTTGTATAAGGAGATCTGGTGGTATAGTGGGTAAGATGCTTTTGGCTGTTAACCACAAGGTTGGCAGTTCAAACCACCAGCTGCTCCACGGAAGGAAGATGAGACAGTCTATATCAGTAGACTTGGAAAACCAATGGAGGTCACTGCAAGTTGGAATTGACTCAACGGTACTGTTTTTTTTTTTTTTGAATAAAGAATCCTTTTGATATTATAGGTAGAGTTCTAAATGATTTAATAACAGAAGACAGTGTGCAGAGAGTAGTTTTCTGATTCTTAAAGTTTTTGCAGAATAGATATAAGATAAAAATGGGATGAGGATTATTTTCGGAAGGGAAAGAATTTGAGATAGCAAAGGACTCAAAGGTAAGGTGTGGGTCTAGAAAATTTAATCATTGAACACGTGAGGAAACATAAATACATAAATTGATAGTTGAAAACTCTGAATTTTATTTTCAACACAAAGTCTTCCTTCCATTTGGAGCTGCCAGGCAGTAAACATAAAAATCATTTTTTACCCAAATGAAAATGAGGCCATCTATCTAGTTACTAGGGAAGCTCTGGTGACATAGTGCCTAAGGCATCTGACTGCTGACCAGAAGGCTGGCGGTTCAAACCCACTGGCCACTCCTCAGAAGAAAGATTACGCAGTCTACTTCCGTAGTGATACTGCCTCAGAAACTCAAGGAGGGGTCACTATGAGTCGGATCTGACTTGACAGCAGTGAGTTTGATTTGGTTTGATTTTATCTAGTTACTACTTGGGTTCAACTGTAATAATTCCTTTTTTCTCCTTTTTTGATGCTCTGTTTGGGCTATATTACCACAGTATGTCTGTCCCACACTGACATTGATATGCAGAAACCAAACCCTGGGGAAAGGCAAATGGATATATGATTTGATTTTGTTGTCAGATATAACTAGTACAGGTCATCCCTAACTTATGACAGGGTTCTGTTCTGACGACTCCATCATATAAGTCAGAGCTGACATTATTATTTATCAGTATCTTCATAAATTCAAACTTTCAACTATGAGGAAACATCTGAAAATGATAACATCATAATATCAACAAATTAGATACTGCAACATAGAATGTGGTAATTGTAATGCCAAATGTACAAAGAAAACAAACAAAAATAGACAGTCCTAAGAGCTATCTGTTGCAACACAAATACCTCATGCATCAGGGACTACCTGTAGTTGCCATATTTTAAGAACATTAAAGTTTTCTTCTCTTTGATTCAAACCAAAACAAAACAAAAATTTAACAAAAAAACATTGTTGGAATCTGTGATGCTTCCTGATAGGTTGGTTGTTAATAGAGATTAAGATTAAGGATGATGGCAGTAAGAAACCCAGACAAGGTATCTAAATAAGGTTGGCAGGTACTTTGTTGATTTAAAACTTGTGTGAGGGGATTTATGTAAGGTCAACCCAAAAAGAGGTTCCCAGATATTATGTTCTGGTACCCTGCTAACTAGCAGTGATGACTTTTCATGTCCCATTATGGAGCCTGTGACAGCCAATCTTTTGTACCTTTGTCTTCCTTGCAGGACAGAAGTCAAGACAAGGTATCCACTTCATGATGACATTCCTTTTCTTGAGAAACCCCCAAGCAGTCAGGCCTCCTTACCACACCTGTCTCAAGAAGAGGCTCCACCGAAGACTGCGGCCCTAGCAAGTGAGGAAGCACTGCAGAAGATCAGTGCTCTTGAAAATGAGCTAGCCACTCTCCGGGCCCAGATTGCCAAAATTGTGACCCTGCAGGAGCAGCAAACTCTCACTGCAGGTGTGTACCTCCTGCATCTGCTTGCTTTGACAGGCAGGCTGGGCATTAGAACATCACCACTTACTTTAAAATTCATTGTGGGTATTAGTCAGCCAACTGTCAGTCCCCTTTTGCATAGTCCAGGACAGAACCCGGTCAAGTTTAAATGTATTTTTTTGCTTGTTTGTTTTGAGTAATGCTGACACTATTAGGGACTATAACTAGGAAATATATTTGGGAAACACTGAAATTCATACAGTTGAATTGCTACTGATGTAAATGATTTCCTTTCTTATGGAAACCTTAGTTGTCTATGATAATGACACCAATATAACAGACATGAGGCAATCCACAAATCATATTTAGTAAATGTTATTAAAGAAAACAAAAATCCTCACAACTGGACCAATGAGCAGCATCACAATCAATGGAGAGAAGATTGAGGTTGTCAAAGAATTCACGTTGCTTGGTTCTGCAATCGATGCCAACGGGAGCAGCAGTCAGGACATTAGACGACATGTAGCATTGGGAAAGTCAACTGCGAAGGAACTGTATCAAGTGCTGAGGAGCAAGGATATCTCCTTGAGGACTAAGGTGCGCCTGACACAAGCCATGATATTTCCAATCGCCTCGTATGCATGTGAGAGCTGGACAATGAATAAGGAAGACCGAAGAAGAGTTGATGCTTTTGAGTTGTGGTGCTGGTGAAGAATGCTGAAAGTACTATGGACTGCAAAAAGAACTAACAGATCTGTCCTGGGGAAAGTGCAGCCAGAATGCTCCTTGGAAGCAAGAATGGCCAGACTTCGTCTCACCTATTTTGGTCATGTTGTCAGAAGGGACCATTCCCTGGAGAAGGATGTCATGCTTGGTAGGGTGGAGGGTCAACGAAAGAGAGGGAGGCCTTCAACGAGATGGATTGACACGGTGGCTGTGATGATGGGCTCAAGTATAGCAGGGATTATGGGGCTGGCGCGGGATCGGGCAGTGTTTCATTCTGCTGTGCATGGGGTCGCTATGAGTCAGAAACAACTTGACGGCACTTAACAACAACAACAACAAAAATGATGTGGGCTTCAGAACTTGAGAAATACTGGAGTGGAATGTTATTTACTTACCTGTATGTCCTGAGGCAGGTTACCTTGCCTTTCTGCTTTCCTTTCCTTCTTGAAAGTGGGCATAACAAGTGCCTTTGTTACTGGTCTTAAGATTAAATGTAAAAATTATGTGAAATGCCTGTAGCACATGGTAGCTATTTAATTCTTCCCCCTCTTGTCTAGAGTAGAAGCTGCCTTCAGGTCTTCTGACTGCTGGTCTCATTTTTGCTTTTATTAGTGTGGCAGTGTCACGTTGGAGAAGAAACTATAGCCTTGAAATCCTAGCCCATTAACCTGTTGGCAAGTAGTGCTAGTTGCTCCTGTTTCTGTTGTTGTTCCTGAGTCCTGGATGGACTCATTTTAACCAATCTGTCTAAAAGATAAGGACAGTTACCTGCCCCTGGGCCTCTTTGAGTGTGCTTCAGGAGCTTAACTTAATCCTTTCTGGCAACCTCATCCAACCTGGATGCAGCAGAGAGAGGTAGAGTGTACTTTGGGCACCATGTGGCAGAGGAGTAACAGGTGTTACTTTAATGAAATCTGAACAGCACAGAACTAAAAAGTTAAAGTCCTTTTTCTTTAACTTTAGATTGTATTTTTCTTTTGCTTTACCTCCCTCTTCTGGCAGACCAGGAAAACTACCATAAACAGGAAGATAAGTTTCAGGTTTATGTTTAAATGTTCTATTTATTTTGAATAAAACTCTTTTACATCAAGATTCCTGCCCCCAACCAATATATAACTCTAACTTCCATTTACGCAGAAGGATGAGTTTTAGGTCCTGATTTTATAACCTCTTAGTTCCTTTTTTTTTTTTTTTTTTTTTTTAAGTAACTTCTTAACTACTACTTTTTGTTTGTTTGTTTTTAGGATTTTTTTTTTTTTCTAATTGTGATTTGGGTGAAAATTTACAGAGCAAATTCACTTTCCATACAGCAGTTCACATACACTTTGTCTCATGACATTAACCACAATTTCCCACAATGCGACAGCTCCCCTCCCACTTCCTCCCAATAGTTACCTCTTCCCTGTGTCCATCCCTCTATGCACTCCTGCCCCTTGAGCTATCTCCCTATGCACAAGGAGCCCTTCTTTCTCCCGTGATAGTGACAGTTCTCTCCAAGGAGTGTATCTACCTCAGGTAAATGCTTAACTACTTCTTCTTTTGAAAATTAAGTATAACACTCTTTTTTCCTTCAGAAATTTATTCCACTCTAAGTCTAAATCTGTTTTCTCTAAAAACATTCTAGTCATGGGAAGAGAGCTATTGTGGGGGATTGCAATCAATGTCATGAGGCAAAATGTGTATGAACTGCTATATGGAAAATGAATTTGCTCTGTAAACTTTCACCCAAATCACAATAAATTTTTTTTAAAAAATTCTAGTCAGTGCAGGCTTTTAATGCTTAATAAATCTTTTATATAAAGTATACTGAAAAGGAATCATAAATTTATCAAAGGTTTTTTTAAAAATTGTAATTGTACTGAATATCAAACTATTTTTGTTGAAAATAAATTTATACAGTACAGTACAAACTGTTTTATACTTCTGCTGAAAGTAGTTACAAACCATACCACAGTCAGACTTGAGCAGTCAGCATCACAAAAACTCCCCTTTAAGCGAAATGGAGCCTTTCTATCTGGAGTTTGGATTGAATGATGCAGTAACTGAGACTCAGGCATTTCTAACAAAATAACTGAAACTGCCTTTCTACTTACATAACTGAAATTCTTCTTAAGGATATTGTTTTCAGTTATACAGAAATCCTTAACATAATTTTGCTTTTAAAAACTATATTTCATTTGTAGACTGCCAGCAGGATTAAATTTATTTTTCCTTATTTCTGTAGGTGACTTAGATTCTACCACGTCTGTTACCACAGCAACACCCTCTGTCCTGCCTCCTCCACCACCACCACCTCCACTGCCTCCGCCACCTCCTCCCCCACTCCCTTCAGCAGGGCGCCACCAAAGTAGATCTGCCATCGATCTGATTAAAGAGCGAAGAGAGCATAAATCCAATGCTGGAAAGATTTTGGTTAAAAGCAGTCCAAAGAAACCCAATATGCCAAATATGCTGGAAATCCTTAAAGATATGAATAGTGTAAAACTTCGGTCAGTGAAGAGGTGAGGATACATGTGCCTTCTTTCTCACTTTTCCCTTTTTTTTTTTATTTCTTATAAAACAAAGATTAGGCTTCTTGAGAAATTTTGTTTTATGAAATGACTACCATGAATAGTTCTTTAAGTTTTAAGTATAAAAAAGATGAGTTCCAATGGCTCCTGTACATAACAGTTAAGAGATTAGCAAAATGAACATTTCCAAGTTACTTTTTAATTTAAATATCGGACCTTTCATACCCATTCAATATAACATGATTGTGCTAGTTACTAGACACTGAGAAGAATGAAATCATAAGTGCTCTTGAGATGTATGTTGTTGTTGTTGTTGTTAAGTGCCGTCGAGTCAAACCCGACTCATAGCGACCCCTCCTTCGGTTTCCGAGGCAGTATCACTACGGAAGTAGGATTGCCCAACCTTCCTTCCGAGGAGTGGCTGGTGGGTTTGAACTGCCAGTCATCTGGTTAGCAGGCAAGTGTCTTAGCCACTATGCTACCAGAGCTCCCCTTGAGATGTATGTTGTTGTTGTTGTTATGTGCCGTCGAGTCAGCCCTGACTCATAGCGACCCCTCCTTGGGTTTCCGAGGCAGTATCACTACGGAAGTAGGATTGCCCAACCTTCCTTCCGAGGAGTGGCTGATGGGTTTGAACCGCCAGTCCTCTGGTGAGCAGTCAAGTGCCTTAGCCACTATGCTACCAGAGCTCCCATAATTATGTTTGTTATTGTTTGCCGTCGAGTCAGCCCCGACTCATAGCGACCCCTCCTTGGGTTTCCGAGGCAGTATCACTACGGAAGTAGGATTGCCCAACCTTCCTTCCGAGGAGTGGCTGGTGGGTTTGAACCGCCAGCCTTCTGGTGAGCAGTCAAGTGCCTTAGGCACTATGCTATGTATAGTGGCTATTAATTAGGTACTTTTGTGCTCTTTTGTTAAGCCCAAATCCAGGGTTTTATTTCACTGCTATTAGTATTTACCAGAGTATTTTTCTGGAGTGTCTATGATACTAGAGAGGCGTGTGAAGGCGAGCATCCCCCTGAGGGATACCCGTGTACTGAAACATGCCCTTCGTCTCTGTTCACTTCTCTAAGGTCAGAGCAAGATGTCAAGCCCAAGCCGGTGGACACTACTGACCCTGCTGCCCTCATTGCAGAGGCTCTGAAAAAGAAATTTGCATTTCGGTATAAAAACGAGGTTGAAAAAGTAATTCCAAAGTCTGAATCAGAGACCACCTCAGAAACAGTGTTGGTGAGTATTAGCACAGAGTTCTCTCATGCTACCACATGGCAATGACTGTGTTGCTGAGCGCCTACATTTTACAAGATATTCAGCTGTGTCCTCTGGGAAATTCAGAAGGGTGTGATACAGTATTTAGACCCTCCATACAAGTAGATTTCAGCTAGCTAAAAAAAAGAGTGACATCTTTGTTTAGCATTCATGTATTTTTTTTCTAGTTATAGAATATAAAAATAATAGTTGTTTATAGTAGTATACTTGGAACTTACAGAAAAAGTATAAAGAAGGAAACAAAAATTAGCCCCTGATCTTATTATGTAGCAATTTCCAATGTCAAATTTTCCATGCATTGTTATATTTACATTTAAATACACTGAAATGAAATGCATTATGATAAAATGTATGTCTTTGGGCAAGATATGTATTATAATATAGAAATTCAAAGTAAACAAAGATGAATTTCTATTACCACACTTCCAGTAGCTTTCTGAAGAGGATGAGATGGGATCTGGACCTTGAAGGATATGTGCCATATCATAAGTGAAGATTTAGCAGATTGCATAGAAGCTCTCAAATAGTAATTTATGAGTTCCCTGTATCCAAATTTATTGATCATGGGGATAGGTGCTTATTTATTCCAGAAAGGCAGGTATATAAAATTCTAGTACCTTTTGAAAATCCTTAGAGATTGGAAAGGAAACCTTATACTTCCTTCTTTTGCTCAGAGAAGTAAAATTGTGGTAAGCTAGTGTAATGCTAAGATGATTGTAGTTTTCTTTCCTAGGAAGTAATTTGATTACCTCTTTGTCTTTCATGTCACATGCTTCTACACATCTCTTATATGATAAAGGTTTTAATATTAGCAGTACCTGCTTGCTTTTTCATGCAAGAATACCTAGCCCTCTGATCCGTGAATTCAGGGGAGTGGGTGAAAGCATGTCATTACTACTGTATGAATCAATATCTTTATTCATGTTTTTTCTTTTTCTTTTCTAGTTTGGGCCACACATGTTGAAGTCTACAGGAAAAATGAAGGCTTTAATTGAAAATGTTTCCAGTTCCTAAATAGACAGCTGAGAAGGACTATCCTGGTTCAGCTATTGGTTTATTAGGGCTAAACTGGCTAGTAGAAACCAAAACTATTTAGTAAACACCTGATGTTAGCATTCGGTGACCTCCTTTTAAATCTAAATAGAGGATTAAGCAATAACAAAAGCACTGAGGTTCTGGAACTGTCTGTAACATTGGTTTATTCTGACACGTTTTTATGTTTAGCTAGCATGTTCAAGTTATTATCTTGAAAACAATTGTATGGATTTCAGAACATAGAAAGAACATTTGTGTTACTGTGAGGTTTTTAATTCCTAAACACTAATTTATCTGTACAAATGTTTTATATGCATATATTTGGATATAAAACAGTTTATGTTAAAATTAGTAATGATAGTGTTGAGGGTACTGTTGTTATCTTCATTCATTTTCAGTAATAATTTATAAATACAGTGATAGAACAGCTGGTACAACATAAGTTGTTGCAGTGAAATATTTAATTTGAGATTGGAATCTTATTGCCTTGAGCATAACTTAAATCTTAGATTCCCTTTCACATTTTCTTGGGGGTGGGGTTTGAGTAAGAGGAGGATGAAGTTCACTGCTGAAATTCCACAATGTTTTTTTAAAGGGAAGTAGAGGACCATGAGAACGCTTTCACCTAAGTGCCATTGTGCTAAGGAAGGAAATGCAATTGTCAAATAGTTCAGAATCAAATTAGTGAATTAATCCTGCTTGAATAGTTTTTTTAGAAGGATCAGCATGAGGCTGGTCCCTGTGAGGCAGAGGTTATAGATATCCCAAATGTCCAACTTTTCCAAACTGCTGTATCCATTCCATTATTTCTAACATCAACTCCTACTCCTCCCCTCAGTAATCTCCCTCCCATGTCAGGATTCCATATTTCACTGTAACATCTCACAGAACTCACAAACTGCTAAGGAAATTGCTTACTCAATGGTGGAGGTTGGGAGTCTGGGAAGTCCCAGATGCATGGGTCAGGGGTAGCTCTGGAGGATTCTTCTCACTCACATGGTTGCAGGGACTGGTGAACACAGTTTGGCAGGTCAGATGACTGACTGCTGTCTCAAGTCCAGGGGTGAAATGATGACAAACCAAATACAGAATTCTGAGCAAAAGAGAGTGAACTTGGCCCCAGCATTCACATGTGCTCAAGGAAGCTAAGGGTGGTGACTTGAGTCACACCCTCCAGCAAGGTGTAGAACTCAAGACACATCCCACCCTAAACAGGCATCAAACCAAACCCACTGCCATTGAGTTGATTCCAACTCAGTGACCCCCATAGGGCTTCCAAGGTTGTAAATCTGAATGGAAGCAGAATTTAAACTGCCAACCTTTTAGCGGCTGAATGCCTTACCATGGTGCCACCAGAACTAGAGGCTAGGATTTACAACACATGACAAAATAAAATGTCTAGAAGAGCCATATTAAGCAATTCACTACACTATGGGCCACCCCCTGGCTCTTCTAGCCACTGGCCCTTTAGTACTTGAAGGATTAACTTGCCTCTCCAAATCATTTTACCAGTCCCAAAGTCATTAACAATTAATCTTCAGTAGGGCAAATAGTACTAATGGTGAGGTTATTTAGGTACCAGCCATTCAGGTCAGCTGCAGGTATCTATCTGATCTGGTTGGGTACTCCAAAAGTTTGTCTCATCTTCACCTTTTCTGGCTTGTGATGATATTTAACTGAGAGATTATTCCCTTCCTCAGAGTCTCTCTTTATACATCAGTATAATGTTAGATTTCCCCCATTACATAACCCATTTATTTATTCCTTTACCTTCAGCTATTATTTCTCCTTCCTTCCATTTGTCATTTATTTTTACCCAAACTTTCCCACCTTGGGAAGGGACAGTAAGTTCAGCTACTGTGCCAGTGCAGATTGCTGGTAGCAAGACTAGCCTAGCAAGTGTTTCCCCCTCAGTCCACTTCCATTCATGTTGGAGAGGGTTACATAGGTGTAACATTACTGGGCTGTCTCAAGCACTGGGCAATATGACAGTATTCACTGTCAACCCCAATTTTGTCAGATGGGGGAAGGGTACAGTCCATCCCATAAGGCCCTTAGGAATTCTGGTGTACAGGTTCAGGGATATATTTAGTGTCTTGGTTAGGGATCACCCCAGCCTCTAGCACCACAGCTGCATCCCAAGCCCTGGGACCCATAGCTTCTGACAGGAAAAGCAACTTTAGGGGATGTAGGGAAGAATTGTACAGTGGCACCAGTGTCCTCCTCAACCTTCTCTTCCCCAGATCCCCCAGAAAAACATAGGATTCTCATCATGTGTGGTGATCCCCACATGTTGAGTATGAGCACACACTCATGAAGGTGTGTGAGCTAGCCCTTCAAACCTTTGTCTCCCCCGTTTTAGATAAGAGATGTTTAAATTGCCCATTCCAGTTCTCTATCAAACCATTCTGAGGATCGTAGGCAACATGGTATATGCATTTAATAGGACTGTTATCAGCCTATTGCTGTACCCTGTTATCTATAAAGTGTGTTCCTTGGTCTAAGGAAATACAACTTGGTGGCCCACATTGGTACAGTATCTTTTGTTCCTGTCATTTAATAGTGTTTTGGGCATTTGCATCTGTCACAGGATATGCAAATCCCAGTCCAGAGTAAGTATCTATTCCTGTGGGAACCCATTTGTGGCTACCTGGTGCCACTGACATCGTTGGTCCTATGTAATCGACTTGCCAGCTATGTACAGGGACTTACCCCTAAGGAGTCTTCCCCATAGCCATCTATAACCTCTATCTTTCTTGCTGACAGAATGGTCCTTACAGACATTTTGTGCCTGAGAGGGTACAAGAGGGATGTGTCTAGATTCAGTCCATCTCTACAGTGCTGCAGTATCCCCATGTCCATTTCATAGACCCAATTGGCCACCTCAAAGGAGTGTACCAGCATATCCACTTGCTGAGTCCAGTCACCTTCCAGTCCAGGAAGGGGATTCTTCTGATGGGCATTGACATGGCCTACTCTAATGCACCCTCTCAGTTCCCAGAGTGGTTTCCGTAGGTCCATGCCCCATGCAGGTGTCCCCTTGATAGTTCATTTTCCCATCACCCATTTGCCTGACCATATAGCCAAGCTATTGGCCACTGCCTATGAATCAGTAAATATCCAAACATATAGGCTCTCACCATTGCCCATTTCTTCTTATCTTCTTCAGTCATGGTCTTTCCATCTGCTAGTCTTAATGCAGCAGCTTTCCACATCAAATATTGTCCATGTTCCCTGGAACTGCCCTCTGTGAACCAAGCAGCCTCCTCTTGGTCAGCAGAAAGTTGTTCACAGGGCACTGTCCATGTGGCAGTGGATTCTGACAGCCTCTTGGGGTACCACTGTAGGATCTATTGGAAAAGAGGCTCCCTGTTCATGAATATGGTGGGTGCCTCCTTGCAATTTGCCCAGTGGCATGTTCTTGTATGAACCATTTCCATTTTATTATGGAATTATTTTGGGTACCGCCTTCCTTATTAGAATGTTTCACTGACATCGCCGAAGACTTGATGGCTATTTCAGGTCTCATGATGATTTTATATCCGTCATTGAGGCAGTCTCAATCACTGCCCAAAAGCAGGAGAGTAATTGCCTTTTAAATGGCGTGTATTGTGCTGCAGCATCTGGAAACTTTCTAGTCCAGACTCCCAATGGTCGCCGTAGGGCAGTGTTCTCAGGTTTTTGTCATGAGCTCCAGTCTTCATTAGCACGTGTAGCAGACACCTCCAAAATCAGGTCTGAATGTGGATCATAAGGGCCTAAAGGCAAGGAGAGTGAGAATGCTTTCTGTAACTCAGACAAAGCCTGCTGTTCCTCACGCCCCCATTTGAATATGGTTTTCTTCCGAGTGGGTTTAGGGATGGGAGCCAGCAATATTCTCAAATGTGGAATAGGTGTTCTCCAAAATCCAAATAGACCAATTAAGCATTGGGCTTCCTGCTTAGTCTTGGGGGTAGGTAGTGACAGCAGCTTATTCTTGATTGCCTGTGGAATGTCATGGGTGGCTCCTAACCAAGTTATTCCCAAGAATTTTGCAGTTTGGGCAAGGCCCTGGATTTTTGCTGAATTTGTTAACCAGTGTTCATGTTGGCCACCACTGTTTTCCAATCTTCTCCAGTTTGTTGTGTTTGATATTAACATAGTGTCATCAATGTAATATATCACCATACTTGAAATCTGTACCAAGTCCAAGCCTCTTCTAATCAAACCATGACAGTAAGCTGGTGAATTCAAATAACCCTATGGCAAAAATTGAAAGTATATTGAGATCCTTACCATATGAAAACAAACTGTGGTTGGTTCTTTTCTGAGATTGGGATGGAGAAAAAAGGTGTTTGCAAGATCAATGACTAAGTACCATTCTCCTTTAGCCTGTTCTATTTTCTGCACCATTGATAACATGTCTGGAATAGCTGAAGCCACCAGTTGCGCTACTTTATTTAGGCCTCGATAGTCTACTGTCAGCCTCCATGAGCATCTGCCTTTTTCACAGGCCATGCAGGGCTGTTATATAGAGAATTTGTTGGCACCAGTACTCCAGCCATTAGCACGTCTTTAATCAAAGCAGTAATCTTTTATCCATACTATTTCAAAATAACAACCTGAGTGGGTTCAGGCAATTCTGGTTCCCATTTAGCATGCCTGATCAATACTGGCTTAAGGGCAGAGTTACATGCCTTCAGTTTTACAATAGCAGGTAGATGAAGTGTTTCCCAGTTAGACATAATATCTACACCAATACTACATTCAGAGGAGCTCTGGTAGCATAGTGCCTAAGGCACTTGACTGCTAACCAGAAGGCTAGCGGTTCAACCCACCAGCCCCTCCTCGGAAGGAAGGTTGGGCGATCTACTTCCGTGGTGATACTGCCTTGGAAACCCAAGGAGGGATCGCTATGAGTCGGGTCCGACTCAACGGCACATAACAACAACAACAACAATACATTCAGGTAAGGGAGATGCAACTACTTCATCTGTTTA